ACACACTAAAGGAACGGATCCAACAAGGGGCATAACCCTGTAAGCACATGTGCGCCCCAGACAGGAGCACCTCAATATGAAAAGAACTTCTGCAGACGTTAATGGAGACATCGGCAGCAATGCAGCCATGGGAGGGACTTCAACATCCCACCCACCTCACTAGGGAGATCTCCCGGACAAAAATCAGCAAGGGAACAGGGACTCTAAGTGACACACTAGGTTAGATGCATTTAATCAACATTTACAGAACATTCCACCCCAAAGCCGCAGAAGAAACACTCTTCTCAAGGGCACACAGGACATTCTCAAAGATGGACACATGTTAGGATACAAAACAAGTCTCCACAAGTCCAAGAAGATTTAAATCACATCAAGCACCTTCTTGAATACAGTGCCAGTGGGAATGCAGACTGGTGCGGCCACCATGGAAAACAGTGTGCAGTTTCCTCAGAAAATTAAATATGGAACTGCGAATTAACCCAGCGATCCCACTTCTAGGAGTATGTCCTGAGAAACCCAAAACACCCTATATTCATAGCAGCACAATTTACAATAGGTAAGATCTGGAAACAGCCCAAGTGCCCATCAGTGGATGAATACATTAAAAAACTGTAGTACATTTTCACCATGGAATACTATGCAGCTATAAAAAAGGATCTAGCACCTTTTCAGTCAGCCTGGAGGGACCTGGAGAGTATTATGCTAAGTGAAATAAGCCAGTCAGAGACAGACAAGTACCACATGATCTCACTCATATATGAATCTAATGAACAAAACAAACCAATGAACAAAATAGATCCTGAGACACAGAAGCACAGAACAGACTGACAAACCTCAGAGGGAAGGTGGAGGTGAGGGGTGGGGAGCGATTAACCTAAGAGTTTATATGCATATAAGCATAACCTGTGGGCACAGACAATAGTGTGGTGAGGGTTTGGAAAGGGGGGATGGTGCTAGGTAGNACACAGGCAATAGTGTGGTGAGGGTTTGGAAAGGGGGGATGGTGCTAGGTAGAGGGGATCAATGGGGGGAAAGGGGCATCTGTAATACTTTCAAAAATAAAGATAAATTTAAAAATAACAACAAAAAAACCACACCACAGAACCTAAAAGTATATCCCAAGGAAAAAAAGAACTACAAAGAAATCCTAAATTGAATCCAGTTATTTTAGTGTTAGTAAAACAATATTTGTATTGTTATTTTGAAAATATTAGGTATACATATATTGTATGTTAAAGCAAATAAGTAATTATGTTGATGTTATTAGGATCTCAGGTTTTCAGGGTAAAAATACACAAGT